CAGAAGGCTAACTCTTGTACTAGAACAAGCATTGCCTTCCATAATGAATACATTTCCTTCACACTATTGGATAGGTCTTCAAGAAACCAATAATGTGCTCCTTTGAAAGATATCTTGGAAATGTTTAAGTATCACTTTAATTCAGTTTGGTGCCCTTAAAACAACCAGGATTGTAGCTCCCAAAGTTCACATTGGACTCTGCCTGAAATCCCGAGAACGCTGCTTTAATTAATATTGACACATCTTGTTTCTTGTTTTCAAACCAAATTCCCTTCGTGATGATGTATCAATCAGGAAAAAGGATACACCCAAACCAGATTCCTATCTACCTAACTATTGTTGGGTCTGGAGACTGGCTGGAAGGCTGTTTGTTTTGTTTTGTTTTTAAATTTGCATTCCATCAGTTTTAATCGGCACTGCAAACATGAAAAAATATAGAAGTGGGAGTTTAACATTATCTAGGAGGCCACACACTGCAGCAACATAAACTGATCTTGATTTACTTCTAACAGCCATTCCTTCAGTCCCAGAGATTTTTAAAAAAGGTGATGGAGGGGCCTTTCACTGATAACCTCTGGATAAATGCCAGGGGATTGATAAGGACTCCCATATAACTATGTTTCCCTTATCATACTGTGCCTTTTGGAATCCTAAAATCATAACTGTAGTAAGTACTAATAGAGGCTGAATTGGGGCTTGGATAATGCCTACCACCACTGCTTAATTGTTTAAAACCTTAGCCTGTATGTTTCACTTCGGAAGGCAAGGATGCTGTAATTAATCAATATTAAATAATAAACTTTACAGTGAATAATGAAAGTTAAACTCTACAGCTCTGAATGCTGGATATGATGGCTTTGTTTGAGCATATGGTTATTATAATTATCCTCATTCAGGTATCTCTATATAATAAGTTTAAAGTGCTGCACGGTGGTGGGATTCAATTTTTTTTTACTACTGTTTCTGTGGGTGTGGCTTAGTGGGCATGGCAGGGGAAGGATACTGTAAAATCTCCATTTCCTCCTGATCAGCTGGGACTTGGGAGGCAGAGGATAGATGGGGGCAGGGCCAGTCAGAGGTGGTATTTACTTGTTCTCTGAACTACTCAAAATTTCTGCTACTGGTTCTCCAGAACCTAATCAGAACCTGCTGAATACCACCTCTGCTGCTGCATCAGAAAATCTTATACACCATCAAAGGATTTCAAAATGGACAACTGAAAAAAGTCAGTGATTCGTGCCCACCTCTGAAACCTATCACTGATCGCTCCTGATCAGAAGTAGGAAGCTAAAGAATATTAAATTCTTTCACAGCATTTCCTTAGATTACTTAAATAAAAAGGAGAGATAGTACAGATTATCAACAAATGTCTATTGCAGGAATAAAAATAAGAAGGAGGAGGAGGAGGAGGA